ATCTGGGAATGATCCTCAGCTTACAGCCAGCAAGGAGTCAGGGACTTTGGTCCAACAACCTCAGTGAACAGAATTCTGCCAGCAGCCCAAATGAACATGAAATGAATTCTCCCCTAGAGCCTCCAGAAAGGAATGCAGCCTGCGGACACTTTGATTTGGTCCGGTGAGATCCATACCAGACCCATACCAGACCTACAGAACTGTAATATGATACATTTATGTTGTTTTAAGCTACTAAGTTTGTGGTAATTTGTTATGGCAGCAATAGAAAATTAATAAAGGGACATTTCAGTTGTTTACAGTTTATGGTGATTTAAAATAATGCCACTATAAATGTTCACATACAAGTTTTCAATAGGAACACAAGTTTTCATTGTCCTTGCTCAAGTACCTATGAGTGGGGGTTGCTAACAGGCATGTCTGCATCCTTGCTGATACTGTATATGAGAGTTCCATTTGTCTGTTGTTTTGATTTTAGCCATTTTAATATATGTGTAGTGGTATGGCATTGTGGTGGTTCCAAATTTGCATTTCCTTAATAACAAATGACGTTGACCATGTCTGTTGTTATGTTTATTTGCATCTGTACATTTTTCTTGGCCAAGTGACTTAATTTTTGAACCAGTTTTTTAAATAGGGTTCTTTGTTTTTTTTATTATTGTGATTTGAGAGTTCTTAATATACTCTGAATACAGGTCTTTATCAGATATGTGGCTTGCAAATATTTTCTCCCAGTCTCGCTAGTCTTTTATTCTCTCAACATTTCCTTGGAAAAGCAGATGTTTTTTATTTGGGGGAAATCCAGTTGATCAGTTATTTTTATTTATAGACCATGCTTTTGGTGAAATCTTTGGTTATTAATAAGGTCACAAAGGAATTTTTCCTGCATCTTCTTCTAGAGGTCTTATAGGTTTACACTTTTTAGGTCTGTTACCATTTTGAGTTAGTTTGTGTATATGGTGCAAGATGCGGGTTGGAAATTATATTCCTATGGATGCCAGGTGTACCAGCACCATTTGTTCAGTTCCAGTGAATTGTCTTTGCACTTTTGTTGAAACTCAGTTGATCATGTATATGTGAGTTTATTTCTGGATTCTCTTCTGTTCTATCCATCTATAAGTTTATCCTTTCTCCAACATCATAGTGTCTTGATTACTGTAGCTTTATAGTAATCTGATAATGTGCATCCTTTTTCAACGTTGTTTTGGCTAATCTAGTTTCTTTGTTTCTTATTTTTAATAGTAGAAAGCTCATAGAATGATAGGCTGGCTTCTTTTAGCCCGTCTTTATTCCCAGGAGAGTGAGGAGAATCAAAAGTCCTACCTTTTGTTACTTTTGCCAAAATGGCAAGATGCTAGCATCTTCTTTATCCTTCCATTGAGGTATCTTCTCTGTACTTTTTATTTGTACAAGAAATTGACTTTTTTTCTCTTTAGAAATATATTTTAAACTTTTAGTAATTCACATGTGTAATTGTTCTTAAGTTCCACAGATCTCCCTAGTGTATTACTCTGAATTAAACAACAAATTCATTGAGTTCTGGAAAACAAACAGACAAACACACAGACAAAAATCCATTGAGTGTTAGAAGTTCTTTGTACATTTTGGATACTGACCCTCTATCAGATATGTCATTTGCAAATATCTTCTTCCATTTCGTACGCTGTCTTTTAGTTTTGTTGTTTCCTTCGCTGTGCAGAAGCTTTTTTATTTTGATGTAGTCCCGATAGTTTATTTTTTTATTTTGTTGTAAGAAAAGATCAAGAGTGGAATTGTGTTTGGGTTAAAAGAAAGGAAGTCAGACTGATGCTGGCTTGAAGACTTAAATCCCAGAGATGGGTATATGGCTGTCTTATAATTCAAAGCCAAGATCATAAATTAAGCTGCTTTAAGGAGGAGTACTGTGGATGGGAGAAGGGAATTAGAAAAATAAAAACGGGCTTTTATTTCCACCTTAATGAAAGAAATACAAAAGTCATTGCAAGATTCTTAACCCAGACCAGATTTAGCAGTGTGTTCCCTCCCTCCCCCACTTTTTTCTCTTGCCTTCTCTCTCTCTCTCTCCAGTTGTTATAAAATTCTTTTTTATAAAAGATTTATTTATTAGAGGGTGTGCACACGAGCAGGGGAGGGGGCAGAGGGGGAGAGAGAGAGAGAGAGAGCAAGCATCTCAAGCCAACTCCCCACTGACTGTGGAGCCTGAAGCAGGGCTGGACTCACAACCCCGAGATCATGACCTGAGCTGAAATCAAGAGTCAGAAGCTTAACCCAGTGAGCCACCCAGGCGACTCTACAGTTGTTATAAAATTCTTAAAGTATTTGATAGAAATATTTAAATGTCATTTAAATATAAATTAGAATCACTTTAGTTTTCCTAACTCTGACAACTAGTATGTCTTACCTGGAAGTAGACGTTTTATTTTTATGAAACTAGAAATAAAAAGACATCATATGTACTCATAGTTTTCTTACACTTTAAGACATTTCCTTTTTGTGTATATCTTCTCTTTCATGCTCTTTGGTGAAAATCTTTAAATTGTATTAAAAAGCTCTGTATGTATGTGATAATTTTAGTTGCAAAGCCTACAATCTTAGAAAAATTAGCTCACACAGATTTTAAAATTCCAAGCTATTTTCTGGAATATTTTTTCAACTTTAGATACTACTGATGGAAAAGCATCTAGCATTTCATTTTTCAGCCACAAGGTGGTGTACTTGTACTGCATCTACTGTCTGAAATTATGTTTGGTGACTTTCAACAGCATGTTCAAACCTAACTTAAGATAAAACATTAAAAAAGTTCACTTTGGGCACTAAAAGAAATTCTTTATGGCAGCAGGTAATCTTTATAGGGATGTCCAGTTTTATTTGAAGGGAAACCAAGGGGCTTTCACAGAGAAAATAAAATAATGCATACAGTAATGTATTTTATTACATTATTAAAAATTTTTACTTGGCAATAACTTCACAGTTATTAAAATGTTATAAGAATAAGAGCAGTACAAGAAACATCCATATACCTTTTACCTGGATTTACCTACTATTAACATTTTATCCCATTTGCACACCCTCTCTTTACCTCTCTTTATATAGATGTGTGTCTATTTTGAAACATTTGACACTTGACTCCTAAATAGTATTTTGTGCTTTCTTTTTTAAAGATAGTGATGCTCTATTTATATAGCCACAATACAGTGTCAACTTCAGTAAACTTAGCATTGGTATGATACTTTTATCCAATCTACCATCGGTATTTCAGTTTGTCATTTGGGACTCAGTAATGTCCTTTATAACATTTTTTCCCTTCCAGTTCAACAGTGTCATGTCAAGTATCACATTTAATTGTCATGGCTCTTTAGCCTCCTTTAACCTGGAATATTTTCACAACCTCTTCTTGGTCTTTTATAACATTGACATTTAACTCCCCACCCCCTTTTAATAGAACATTACTTTTTTCCATTTTGGGTTTAACTGATGATTTCTTCATGATATAGGTCATACATTCTCAGCTATAATATTGCATAGGTGATGTTGTATATTTAGGGTATTACATATGCCCATGACTACCCCCCCCCGCCCCACTGCTTTCAAAGTTTATTTAAGTAATCTCTCCACCCAACATGGGGCTCGAACTCATGACCCTGAGATCAAGAGTCACACACTCTTTCGACTGAGCCAGCCAGGTACCCCGCCCATGGCCCTTTTAATGGTGATGTTACATTATGTTTTTGTTCAACTCATTTAGGTATATGTGCTTAGAAGAAGAATTAGGTGCCCATTCAAGGATGTGTAAGAGCAAACAAACATTTTCTCTAAAGGAAGATACTTAGAAATAGATTAATGCTCCCAGTAGGTAAAATCTAATTTGACTGTAAGGCTTGAGGTAGCACATTTTAACTTTATTCCTTGCAAAGCTCTTAATATACTGTATTGGCATTTTATCTGTCCCTGGATTGCCAAAGAGTATTTGTTGATATCTTCTTGGGATCTACCAGTCATTCTGGTGAAAGAATAAAATCTAAGTCGGTGATATTAGAAGAATAAAACATATCTCAATTTTAATTTTTTATAGGTCCTAATTCCAGATCCAAATAATTTTGTAGTCTCTATTTGAGTTTGTGCTTGCATTAGTCAGATTTTAATACAAAACAAACACATGAGTGCCAATATGTTGATGGGAAAGAATATAGTGAACTCAAAGAAATGATAAAAAGTCTTTATCCTTTGGTTATTTGAAGGATTTGTTATTAAGTGGATAGAAATAATTTTGTGAGTAGGAAAATTCCTGAAATGTTTCTCATATGTTAGTTTTAGGGTGTGTATAGAAATTCTCCAGAAGGTATACTTACTTATAAAGAAGGTAGTCATTGTGAATATTTACAACTAATTAATTTCTTTTGCTGAAAAGTATTTGTAACATTAATATTTAGATGGTATAATGCCCTCTAAGAAACAACATTAGTTTGCGGCTCTGTTAGAGAACATGGTGAATCAAAACTTTTTTATGATCTTATAGTTTAATCCATTTACTTTGATTACATATGTATATTACATATAAAATATGTATTTTGCATACACTGTAGACATCAAAGCATTTGGGGTATGAAATTAGATGAATATAAAATAATTTGAATGCCAAAGTGCTCATTAAATTTAACAGTTGAAAAGTTACTGGATTCCTCTGTAAGTTATGATTTCTCCCACCAGCTATCCTGCAGGATATTGGAAAGGAGAAAAAGTTACCTCCATATTCCTTCCATTTTTGCTCCTTGATTTTTTACAAAGATATATACTGCTTAAATTGGTAGTGGTTTATAGCTACTGTTTTTGACACTTGTATACATGCTTCTGAGTTTCCAAAGTGTACTAAGTGGTGTCCTGGGGGCTCAGAATTCAGTGTGTCTTCCCAAGTATGTGACTTAATTCTGGGAACCTGAGCAGTAAGTATTACTTGATCAAATATAGTTTTAAAAATTGTTTTATTTATTTTTATTCCTCAGACAAGACATCTGTGTAGATTCTACTTCAACTGTGAGAGAGAACAAGCAACCTGAAGGTTTAGAATTAAAACAAGGTATGAATCAAGTAGTTAATTTTTATATATCGTTACCTGAAGATTATAAACATTTTACCAGTAGTAAATTTTCAGTGTTCCAGGTTGCCCCCATTTTACAGATAAGGGAACAGAATAATTTATTTGGTCCAAGATTATAAGAGTAAAGAACATATTCTTTATTTCATGACTCCTTTAGCCCCTGGAGTAGTTCTGTGTTAGTGATACATGGTTATAGTGTCACCAGAAAGCAGTCATCTTGAATAGTGTTAATTTAGTAATCTCTACTGTATGTCATCAGCTGCAGATACTGGAGATACATTAACTGGATAGCTTTGGGTTATATGTGGAAAAACAAAACAAAAAAAGCTTTATGGGGTGACTTTGTCTTTTCTGCAGAGAGACTTTGTTATTACTCTCTTCTTTATTTATTTTCTGTAAATCAGTAGTTTTTGACATTACCAGCCAGCAGAACTGAAGTGGTAATTTGTAATTTATTCAGGCCAAGTAGATCAATGGGGTTGATCTTTCACATGTCTTTTTTTTGTTTCTTCTCATTCTTGTAGGGAAAATTGAAAGTAAAATAAATTTTTATTAGTTACTCAAAGACCACCTCACATTTTTCCTTTCTCCTGATAAAATTACTTCAGAGCAATGAGAATCTGCTGTAGCCAAAATGATTGTTTTATTTATTATGTAAGCAACTAATCTTTGATTGGCTTAGAATAGTTTCTCTAAAACTTGAGTCATAACTTACTTGGTACAGAGAAGTAGGTCATCAGTTTATTTAGGCAGAATTTCTTTTTTTACTTGTGGTCTGTGTTATTAATGCTTAATTGACAGTGAAAAAAATTGGGTAACTAATTTTGTGATTCATTCAATGTATGGGGAGAGAGAACAAAATCAAGATTTTTTGTAATTCCAATTTATGTATTCTGGGGTTTTATAAATATTTCTGATGGTTTCAAGAATTCCATTGTTTTTCAGAAGTCCTTTTGTGTTAGCCTCTTAAATAGACAAAAAAAATTACATCTTTATATTCTGACTACTTCTGAGCACCCACCAAAGACATAAAGTCAGAGTCATAGTTTCATTTACATTTATTTGTCATATATAAATAAATGCTAAGCACACATCATTTTCATATAACTCTTGTACCCCGTGGGTAATTGGACAACTGTGCTATTCTTTGTCTTTGTTTCTATTCTTTGCATCTAATGAGCAGACATTGTGGAGGGTATACTATTAGATCATCTATGGAGAGAAGAATGTCATGTAATTGACATGGTTGATTCCTAGGGAGAAAGGAATGGAGACCTCATTGTACAAATTAGCCAGTGCTGCCTTCTAAGGGAAGAGGTTTTTCTGCTCTCATGTTCAGGTACTTGGAGCTCTTTAGAACTCGCTTCCCAGTGTCAAAAACCTATTTTGCTGTGATTTTATATAGTAACTTTAGTCATTTAAAAACCAGCCATAGAGGCAAAGAGGGAGAGAAAAAGAACTCAGAGTAGCCAGATACCACAAGGCCCAAGTCTTTTATGCTCAGGAGCCTATATAGACCACTCTGAGGTTCTCACGTAGGCATCAGAAACATCCAAGAACACACTGTCATCAGTAAGGGACAGCAAGCAGAGGTGAGTAAACATAACATCACAGCACAGCAGTACCATCATGCAGTACCGTTCATGTGCATGTTGTGACTAAATCTGTAGGAAATGGTTAAATTAAGTTGCACTTTTTTTTTTAAGAAAAGAGGGAAATAGGTAAAATCTTCCAGAAAAATGTCTATAAAAATAGTTAAAATATAAAATGTTTTGTTGCATAGTGGAATGAACATAAGTTTTCTAAAATATTCAATTATGTAGAACATCTTCTACTAAATATTAGTATAGCTAAAATCTGAACCAGATAGTAAGTAACTTGGTTGGAGTTCCCCAAGAAGCTGAGGTACACCAGGAAATAGAAATCCTAGTAGTCTCAATAAAGATTGGTGTCTTTTTTTCTGAATAAACTAATGTTGCCTATTTTTAATATGCAAAACTTGCAAAACTGATTTAATATTATCTCTAACTTTTCTTGCATAGCTAGCTCTTCTTGCTCACAGTGAGCTCAATAAAAACAGAATAGAATGCTCCTCGTGAATATATTGTCATTTTGTTTAATGGCTTGACCATTTAAGAAAATTCATGGAAGCTTATTTAGAATTAAAGTAACCCTTTGTTCAGTAGACCAAAATATAAAGCAACATTGAATTTTCTCTTTGCTCTTTCTGAACAAAGTAAGTCTTATTATATGACCTATTCATAGTGTATGATACTGACATGTTATTTAAATTACACTTTCAATTTTTTCAGCTTCTCAGCTTCTAAAATACTCAAATATTGAGAAATATTAACGGTGAATTAGTTAATTGCAATTTACTTTTTTTTGTCTAGTTCCCATGTCATCTCTCTTATTGATAAGAAATATCATTTATGAAACACGCTGTGCTGAAGATGAGTATCAGATTGTGGGCTAATTTCTACCATACTTTAATGATGGACTAATAGCTGAAGATCTTCCTTCATTGTGCAAACATTATTTAAATGTAAATAAAATCTACTGGTTGATTGATTGGTACTATAGTAAAATAGGAACTCTTCTGTTGGGATTAGTTTCCTAACTTATTTTTAGCAAGAGGGCAGCTGTATAAGAAACATCAGTTATAGTTTTGCTCTTTATCTTCAACACAGCTATGTTTGTGTACATGAGCACATATACATGTACAAGCCTGAGATCTTTGATTAATTTCCTGGAGGATCTCAGGGCTTGTATTATTGAAAAGGTTTAGCTAAGTTTTTAAAATAATAATTATTCTATTTAAGATTTCTTTATTTGAGAGAGAGAGAGAGTATGATAGCGTGTGAGCAGGGGGGGAGTGGGGAGAGGGGCAAAAGGAGAGGAGGAGAGAATCTCAGGCAGACTGTCTGCTGAGCACAGAACCTGCTGCGGGGCTGGATCCCCCAACCCTGAGATCACAACCCAGCTGAAATCAAGAGTCTGTCACTCAACCAGCTGAGCCACGCAGGTGCTCCTAAAATAATAATTATTTATGTAAATTTTCTAAATTGGTCATTTGTGCAATAGTTTAAAAAAATAAAAACTGCTGTTAGAGGTATTTAATTGGTAAAATTTTTTTTAAAATATCGAATCTCTGCTAATATTAATGAATTCACTTTATATATATCTATAGATAAATTTGCTTCAGACGTTCAGTAATATTTAAGTAATGGTCTATATTTAAATTATTGCTTTAAGGTTTACAACCAGGGCTATGTTTAATTTTGCAAATTATTCTCCTTTGTAACTTAAAAATTTAGCTCTTAGTTTTGCATTTCTTCTTGGAAGTGGTCGTGAGAAATTTTTTTAACTATACATGAGAAATAGCTAAGTCAAATTTGGATACTTAGGTTGAAGAGGACGTGAGGTTTTTAGCACTCACTTTAAAATATTTGAAGAGCTGTCAAGTGGAAGAGTGATTAGGCTTGTTCTGTATTACCTCTGAGAATAAAAATAGGGCCAGTAGATAGAGTTATCATTAGATAGATTTTGGTTCAATTTATTTATCTCAAATAATCAGAAGTACCAGAAAATGAGTGGGCTGCTTTCCTTTTGCTGAAGGGTGTTTGAACACAGGTTACGTAAACCACCACTTGGTGGCTCTGTTGTAGAGCAGATTGAAGCAGTGTTTGTTTGGATCTTTGGCCTTGATCTTGAAGTTGGTTTCTGTCAGATTTTGTAAAGACCAGGGCTTAGGGGCACCTGGGTGGCTCAGTCGTTGGGCGTCTGCCTTCGGCTCGGGTCGTGATCCC